AAATTAGTGAAAAAAATATGTAATTTAATAATGGTATTAAGTTTTTTAAGAAATAATAAAATTTAAATTATAATATTAATTATTGTAAATTAAAATTAGAATCTTGATTAATGTAAATTAAAATTATTATTTTAATTAATTATTACATTTAACATAGAATTTAAACTTCAAAAATAAAATGTTGTAAAAAATAAAAATACATAACTATATTTAACACTTTTTAAAAGTTTAGGAGGCACATGTCAACAAAGAAAAAGAACTCTGTTAGTCCAGTTAATGGAATGTTTATCAAGTAGATCATTTTGAAATAAAATTGATAGTTTATAGATCATTCTGAAACAAAAAAAATTATTTTTAAACTAAATTAAAATAAATCACATAATTAATAGACTATTCATTAAATTTAGCCATATAAATCGATAGGGTTAACTTAACCATTTCCAGGCCTGTAAGTTTTCCTGCGCTAGGGAATTTGGGGGCCCAATTTTCTTCGAATGCCCAGCTGGAAATGGATTTCTTTGTATGGGCTCAGGCCCAAAAACTGGTAAAAGTAAAGAAAGGTTTTCTGAAATTGTAACGGCGATGGACATACTATGAAGAACATAAAAATCCTGACCACCATCAGGACAAACTTGGTTTGAAGTGGTATGGTTATTGTCGCTGTATTAACATTGTTAAAGTTATTAAAATTTTGACTTTTTTTAAATGAAGTCTGAAAATATTAATTTATTGATGGATTTAAATTTGTTAATTAATTAATATTAATTGTTTTATAAGTTATTTATTAATGCTTACAATTATTAGCTTTTTTTTTTTATTTTTTTATTTTAGGTTATATAATAAGACACAATTCTTTCTTATCCTTTAATTTTTCTCACCCCCATATTATATGATATGAATTTACAACATTTTATTTTTATCAGAAAAATTATTACTGAATTATTTAAATCGTTATCAAAATTATTAATTATTTTTATGAATTAAATTAAACAAAATTAATATTTTTAGAGACAATTTTTTACCATTTTTGTGGGTATAATAAGATTATTATTGGTCATCATAACATTTGTCGGTTTTCAGAGGTGTTATAATAGAATTAAATAATTGAAGTAATAGGTTCTCGGCGCATCAAATACTTGAACCGCAATGCCTGCTGAATTATTGCGATAAATGTGAGATATATATATATATATATATATGTATATATATGTATATTATTTATAGTAGAGTTTTTTAGGATCATTTTTTACGCATTTTGAAATTAATTGCTCTCTAAATAATTTTAAGAGTGTGCTCTCTAAATAAGCTGTTTCTCTCCAAGTCTCCTGCCCTCCTTAGCCTAACCTAGATTATTCTACAACAAACTATTCTAGAATTATGTACAAGGCGTTAGAGTGTTTTACACACAGGCTTGGCCGGACAAGGCCTCCAAGACCACTGTCTAGACACCAATCCTCGCACCTGTTGCTTCTCTGGACGGCACCAAAGTGTGCCAAGGTATCGACACCATGATCCCACGTCATTTCCCACGTGTCGAGACTTTAGTCCACTCGCAAGGCATGTCTCCAGAACGTTCCAGGCCGCTCGCGTGCTCGCACGGATGTCATAACTGCGACCCCGTGCCACGATCTTGGCATCGACACCTGGCTCGAGCCCCAAACTTGCGCTTTGTGACAGGTTGCCCCACTTGTCTTTACGTAACTCTTCCTCTTACCCATTCACGTCGAGAAAATATGAATAAGAAGATCATGGAAGATTTTGAATTTAGAGAACAATATAAATGTGCGTTTGTATGTTCGGGCCCGCCATTGGTAAAGACAAATTCAAGGGAAGAATATACATCCTGCACATGGGTAAGTGTTAGTCACTTTTTTTTTTTTTTTAGTGAAAATATCAACTCAGATTTGGTATACAATTTTTTGGGGTCTTTTTCCCTATCTCTATAGTATATAAGAATATTTTAAAAAAAAATTGTCCTTGTTAAAAAAAAAAAAAAAATTCAAGGTGCAAATAAACCGCGATGGACTATCACTTCAAATGTCACACACACGATTGGACGGTACCTGATTGAAGAGCAGCATACATAATCTATTGTTGGTAGGTGTATGTGTAGGCCAACACATGCGGAAGAATGGCAGATAGCAAGAAGGGCCGTTGAGATACGTGCAGAATGCAGTGAAACCAAATTAAGTTAAAACTCCTCCCCCTATCGTTGTATTTGTAATCAGTATATAATATATATACAATAACAGTTTTCATTACATTTCTCTGCGATAAATTAAACTAGACTCATATAAATATTCCAAAGCTCCGCTTTTGACAAATGTGCTGTTCTACCGTTTTACAGCATCGTCTGTCTCTTTTATACTCGATCCTCATGATGATCAATTATATATTTTCTCTCTGATATTCTCCCATTTTCTCTCTGATATTCTCCCATTTTCTCTGTCATGTCGGCTTTCTCTTCCTAGGGAATTAAGAAGGCTGCAAAAAGTAAATCAAGAGATATGGGAAGAGCTCCTTGTTGTTCTAAAGTTGGATTGCATAGAGGACCATGGACTCCCAGGGAAGACGCATTGCTCATGAAGTACATCAAAGCTCATGGAGAAGGCAATTGGAGATCACTCCCCAAAAAAGCAGGTAATTTATACATACATATATATATATATATATATATATCCAATTAAATCTAATGATCTTTTTCTTAGTTTATATCTAAAATTGTATTGGTTTGATTGATTAGAAAAAGTTTATTATATGTTTATGAAGGGCTGCTTCGATGTGGGAAGAGTTGCAGATTGAGATGGATGAACTATTTGAGACCAGATATCAAGAGAGGGAATATCACTCCGGACGAGGATGACTTAATCATCAGGTTGCATTCACTCCTCGGTAACCGTTGGTCTCTCATCGCCGGTAGGCTTCCTGGTCGGACGGATAATGAGATAAAGAACTACTGGAACACCCATCTCAGCAAAAAGCTAATTAGCCAAGGAACCGATCCGATTACTCATAAGAAACTAGCGGAGGCAGTACAGCAAGAAGTGGAGAAGAGATTAGCCAGAAACACCAACACTAACAACAAGAAGGAGAACGAGAATAACACAGCCAAAGTGGAACTGGAAAAACCGAAGGTCCATCTTCCAAAGCCCGTTAGGGTTGCTTCTTTCTCTTTACCTCGAAACCATAGTTTCGAAAGCAACACCTCAAGTGCTGCGTCCTCCAATCACGGCGGAGGAGAGGGTGGAATAGGTACGGAGGACGTTGTCCAAGTTCCTTGGTCTGACGATGTCGTCGTAGTAAAAGATGACGGCCACGGTGAAGCCGCCGGTTTTCTTGACGGATATAATGATCATGATGATGATCATCAGTTAGTAGTCAACGGCTCAGATTTGGAGTGCCAGTCAAATATATTGCCTACGGGCGATGGGTCCCTAGAGAAGCTTTACGAAGAATACTTGCAGCTTCTGAAGACGAACGAGGATCAAGCGCAGTTGGACTCCTTTGCGCAATCATTATTGGTCTAATGAAATGGGAAAGGGAGAGTACATATATTTTCCGATTAATGTGTGTGCGTGTCAGATGTTGAGGTTAATTTCTCCAATAAAGTGCTTGAATCTTGGCTTTAATCACGTGCTTCCCTTCTAGCTAGACAAACTAAAGCTACAATTATGGGTGCTTGACTTTTAATTAATTTTTTTTTTAACAAGGGCAATTTGAGGTGGAAAAATATCACTCATGGAGCTTAAACACGAAACCCACTGGAGGTAATCCCCATGATTGGCTTTTAATTAATTATGCATTTTATATATGATCATAACTAACTTAATTACTCTCTCTTTAATTAGCAATCTAACTATTTTTATCTAGAGTAATTAATGTTACATGGAGCTTATAGTTACAGAGATGCAATATATCTTATTGGGGTAGAGATCTATATTATATATAAAACTTACATATTATACTTATATAAAATTTTAATAATT